TTGTTTTGGATCGGTAGGCGCATGAACTCTGCATCGGCCCTCTCCCCTCCCCCCCTCCTCCCCTCAGCCCTACCCTCCCCCTCCTCCTCCCACCATCCTCCCTCCAGCCCTCCCCTCGGCCCTCCAGGGGGGAAACGTTTGACTGGGGGGCCGAAGGGAGAAGGGGGGGAGGGGAGAGGGCCGATGCAAAACTCGTGCGTCCACCGATTCAAAACCGAATCCACCCCCCCAGATCTGTTTGATGTCGAAGTTCGCCAATCTGAAGTGATCAGGCTTCTGAGGTCCGACCCGCTCGCGGGCGTTAGTGGACCGATTCGAGAGCCCCCCCCCTTGATGGGCCGACCTTCCAGAGAGGCTACCCACCACCCCATCTCACATCACTCCTCCTCCTTACCTCATTCGGTGGTCTCATCATAATCTTCATCATAATCAAACATCGAGTCATGGTAAGCTCGTGTAAGGGAAACGTTTGCAAACGTTTGTAAACGCGTTGTTGCGCAGTGCTCGACCCATGCGCATTTATGTGACAAACGTTTGCGTCAATTTGGTCGCTAACGCTACCGATTTTGATGCTAACGCTACCGATTTTCGCTGCTAACGCTACCGATTTTTCGATGCTAACGCTACCGAAAAAAATCGGTAGCGTTAAGGTCGGTCGCTACCGAAATTGCGTGTGGTTTTTAGTGCTACCGATTTTTGCTAACGCTACCGAAAAAACCCGGTACCGGATGATCTGGGACCCCCGGGCGCCCGGCGTGGGCCTCCTGGCCCTCGGCCCGTGACGGTGCACGTGCAGACGACAGCTCCCGCCGGCGGGCGAAGCGGGCGCGCCATGTTCGGGGACTCCAGAGGGTGTGGTTTGCGAAAGGTGTGGCTTGCAACCGGCGCCCTGGGGAGCATCCTGGGAGGCACCTTGGGGGGCGCGCGGGGACCTCGATAGAGATTTCTCCGGCGCCCCGGGGAGGCCCAGCGAGGACCGCGTCGTGCCCCGCCCCAGGCCCCAACGGTGCCGATCGCAGACCACACCCCAGCGTAACCATACCCTCTGTCGTCGCCGACACGTGCTGGGCCTGCTCCTGGGGGTCGTGCCCGGTCGCGCGGACCGTGCGAGCCCCGGCGGCAGCCCTCCATGCTCAGGTCGGGCATGTCCTCCTACAGACGGATCTGGGGAGAAACATAAGACATAATCAAAACATTGCCAATCATAGTCAAACACGCACGAAATATCGCCACCAGACTATTCTTTTACTCTTACTGGATATACCTCCTGTGGAGGGACATGCCCGACTGAACTCTATGTACAGCCCGCGACCCGGGCGCCCCCCTGCCAAGAGCACAAAGGGGTGCTCCTCCCTGGCTCCACCTCGCCCTCACCGCGGCAACATGTTAAACTGGTTATTGAAAGCAATCCCCGCGGCGCTTGCCGTGCTGGGCGTGGGTGTGGGCATCAGGCCTGGGTCGCAGACGGTCCTGAACGGGCCGTCGCCGGGGAGACTCCGCGAGAGGCCGTGGCAGTGACACGTGTGCGTATGCCTGGGCTCGAACCGTCCAGCTACTCGACGATGCCCGAGCACGAGAGCGTGCGCGCGTTTGCCGTCTGGATGGGAAGGTGGCCACGAGAACCTGCCACAATCATCAGGGAGTAGCCACGAGGCAGAAAATCAGAAAAGAGTGGTCCACGGACCATAATTAAAAGACGAGCTCGGAAGCGGGACACCCTAAACAAGTCCTCTGCTTTCTGGCTGTCGTCACTTTCCTAATTCAGAAGCGCGGGACCTTCAGCGTTGCATCTCTCTGTGTTTTCAGAAAGCTACGCTGTTGACCGGGCCCGCTGCGGCACGCTCCCTACCTCGACGACGTGAGCATGGGCTTCTGACATTCGGTCGGGCATGTCCTCCTTCAGGCGGATCTTGAAAGAATGCTGAGAAATAGTCAAAGGCATCCAAGCTAATTACAAATGCTGGACAAATCGTACCCAGACTATTTTTGGACTATTCCTCCTGTCGAGGGACATGCCCGACTTCATTCTGACACCGCGTGAACCATTCGACCGTGAACGGGCTGAACCATTCGACCGTGAGCGACCTCCGCTCTCTGAGGTCCTCGGGAGCAGCGGACCCCCGCCCTTCGAAAGGCACGCCGCGCCGCGGCCTGCTTCCCGTGGGCCCTCGGGCCCTGTTCACGTCGGCCCCCCCAGGCCGGAGACGTGTCCTCGGAGGTCGGGGGAACGCAAAGAGAGGGGGGGAAGGGGGCAGGGGTAAAAAGGTGGGGCTGGGAAGGACATCGCTCCAAACGGCTCCTGGAAGCAGGAAACCCAGACCCCCTCGAGCCATGAGAAAAAATCACTCCTGGAAGTGTTCCGCTGTTTTCGAGCTCTGGGGGCCCTCGCCGGGCCCCAGGACCGTCAAGGACGACTGGGGACGAGCAACCCACTCCGGGAATGGGTCGAGACCTCGCGTGGGAAAGTGAAAAGTACCGATACCGCTATTCGCCGGACCTCTCCTGGGGGGCTTTTTCAGCGGTGGCGACGACGGAGGCCCAGGATGCCCAAAAAGGGGAAAACTTGGGGAGGGTAGAGGTATGGGTACCTTGTCCTCCTCTGATCTGGGGGTCGACGTCATGAACAAAATCATCACGTCGGGGGCCTGGAAACGTGAGCATCCAGCCGGGCCCGTCCCTCACCACACCTTGGGATCACCCCCCCTCCACGAGCCCCCCCCGAAGAGGGCGCTCGTGCCTCCACGCCTGGGCCGGCGTCGCCTGGCACATGAAATCCAGGGTTATGATGTTCCAGCCTACTTTAGCCTTGACCGCCAGACAGCACTTCAAGCACCAAGAGAGAACATAGAGCATGGAGGGATTTCACGTGTGTCGGGCCCTGGGAGGCGATACTCGCTCGGCACCTCGCCAGCTTGTCGGGCAGACACTGATACGATACTCTTCGGGATGCTCGAATAGAGGTCATCGCTGATGCATCGCCGATGCACCGGCGAGGCGGCGCGATCCTCCGACCCTGTCTACTCCGACCCTATCTTAGGAGGCCCAGATCGAAATCATTCCCGGGATGTGGCCCCCAAGTACGATGGGACCACCAGACGTCCAGGGTTCCCGAGGGCAGCGGGGGCCCTGCGCCCCCGGGCCTCTCCCCGGGACCAGCCGCTCGAGGCCCGCGTGAGCCCGACGGTGCGGTTCCTCCGCTCTCCGCCTCCGGTCCCCGATCGTCGACGAGATGCTCGTGCGACGCTGCACCGTGGGCAGCTCCCCCCAGGGGGGCGAAACGCGCGTATGATATATATATATATATATATATATATATATGTATGTATGTTTATGCATATGTCTATGTCTATGTCTATGTCTACGTCTATGTCTATGCCTATGTCTATGTATATGTATATGTGTATGTATATGTATATGTATATGTATTAGATTCATTTGGACAGGGGCTGCCTGACCCCTGGAAAAAACAACATCCGAGTGAGGCCCGTTGCAGCCAAAGGCTGCCCAAGGGGGTGCACGGTTTCCCCCGGGGCCGTAGGCGACCCGAGGAGGAGGAGGAGGAGGAGGAGGAGGAGGACGAGGAGGAGGACGAGGAAGATGAGAAAATGAGGAGGAGGAGGAGGGGAGAGGAGGGAGAGGAGGAGAAGAGAGAGGGAGGAGGAGAAGGAGGAGGAGGAGGAGGAGGAGGAGGAGGAGGAGGGAGGCGGGAGGATGGAGGAGGGAGGAGGGAGGAGTGAAGAGTGAGGAGGGAGGAGGAGAAGGAGGAGGAGGAGGAGGAGGAGGAGGAGGAGGACGGGGCGCCTAAGCCCTTCGGAGAAACCCTCCACGAGGGGGGGCCTCGCCTTCGGGCTACGGAGCCGGCGATGAAAGAAGAAGCACCCCCTTCAGAAGATAACCTCGAGCGCTCGAGGCTCGATCCAAACAGGGGGCCACGCAGCGCCAGCACCCAAGCGTGAGAAACGAAACTCTCGTGTGATAAAACAACGGTGAGAAAATGTGCAAAACTCGAGTTTTTACTATCACACTCAAGCTTCCAAATCAGTGCTTGCGCTGAAGGGGTCCTGACGGATATTGAAAGATTTGGCGAACATCCAAGGCCGATTTCGGTAGCCGGCCGGGTTCCCGGGTTCCTCGTTCTGGGTTCCCGGGTTCTCGGTTGCTGGTTCTGGGCCGCCTTCGGGATTCCACGCTCGAGCTCGCAATCGATCTCATGACCGATCCCACTATCCACTGATTGGGGTTTTTCTCTGGTGTAGTTTGTAAGCACGCTTGAGCTCAGGACCCCTTCCTTCTTGGCGAGCAACCGCCGCGTCGGGGCGGAGCGCGGACTTGCCGTGCGAGGAGGATGGCTTCCCCTGGACCCTCCCCTGAGCGGGCTCGCCCCCGGGTCCTTCCCAGGCCTGCCAGGAGCGCCCCAGGGTGTGGCCTCAGGAGATCCGCGAGGACCGACAAGCGCGTGGCGCTACTCGCAATGGAACTACTCGCAAATGGCCGGATCCGCCGCGGGGGATCTGCGATCCCGTACGTCGAGGCAAACGTATTTTTGTTGGCGGACGTTTGCGGGTAGGCACTTTGCGATTAGTGGAGCGCGCCTGGTGAGAGGAGGGAGGGGGATCGAGATGGGAGGAACAAGATTTCTTGACGTCTGGGGAACTTCTGGGCCACTGGTGGCCTCTGGAGGCAGGCAGGGGACCTCCAGGGGCCTCCGGTGAGACGAAGCGCGGGAACCTCCGGGGAGGAGTCTGAGGCCCACGCCTCCTGTCGGCTCGAAGCACGGTCGTGCCGAAAAGGTCTCAGGATGTGAGGCCCAGGGGGTCGAGAACTCCAGGGGCCAGCGACTCGAACAGATCAAGCCGTCGGAGTTCTAGGCAGGAGGAGAAGAGGAAGGAGGAGAGGAAGGGCGTAGAGGAAGGGGGAGGTGGATGAAGGGGAGGGGAAACTGAACAAATAACCAAGCATGATTCCAGATCCTTCAATTGCACGGGGTTCTGCGCAGATCGTCATGTGACGAGGTGCTCTCCAAGCTTGCTCTGCGAGTCCCACGGCCTATGCAGCATCGAGGGCTGGCAGACCGATGGCGCCACGTATTTCCAATCGGCATGCAGGGCGCCATGTTTCCAAAGTGCTCTCCGAGTGGCCTCCGGCACACACCTGTGGAACGCGGCAACGCAAACGCCCGCGCCCGATACGTACACCACCAAGGCCACCAGCGCGTAACGGAAGAGGTGGCCTCGAATGAACTCCTCCTCGGGTGGAAGGCGCAGCGAGGTGTAGATCCCTGCGGCGCCGCCGACCACATGCCACAGGCTGTGCCGCAAGACCCAGGCGTTGAAGCTGCTGGACCTCGCGGCTGTCCAACGACTGCCCTCAATCGCAGATCGACCGAATCATGCGCACGATCAAAAAGAAAATCTTGGGTGGATTAAGGGATTCTTCCTTGCGGGCGCGGAGTCGAATCGACCGGCGCCGCGCACAGACATCGGCACACATCGCCGAATCGATGGAATCGTGTACGGCCCGGCGCTGCGAATTGGCTCTTGGGCCCAGGGCCCACAGAAGGCCGATCTGGGAATCAGCACCTCCGCCTTGACTCTCGTCGACGCACTGGCCGAGGGGGTCCAAACTGACAGGGCTCGGGGTCGTGCGCAGACAGCCCCAAGGAGGCAGCCCCAGGGCGGTCTATGACCCTGGGGGAGCCTGCTGAGGCCAGCCTGGACTGCGTACGAAACTGCCTCCCGGGGCCGCTGGGGCGCAACCCACGGCCTTGCCTCAAGGGGTCCAACGGAGGTGCTGCAAGAACAATCGGCATCGAATCGGGACATTGGATCGACTCGGAATGTGCGTCGGATCGGTCTGCATCTTCACGGAGTCGAAATCGAGTCAGATCAGCTGCGCCAGGATGCACATCAATGCCCATGCGCGCATCGCGCCGCATCTGATCGTCGGAATACCGTAGTCGAACCGGATCGTTCCGACAGGAATCGATACCGAATCGGATAGAAATTCACCCTGTGATCCGAAGGCGCAGCTGATCGCCTCCAGAGGCCTCCAGGAGACCAAGTTGGGCCAATGGCGACCAAAGTATTTGTGCGCAAGGACCCTTTCTCGACGTCGGCGACATTACTAGGGACGAAAGCTGGAACACGAAGGCTTCTGGCGCCCCGGATCTGGCCGAGACCGGCGCGTTCCCCGAGCATGCGCCCACAACATGCCGAACGTCGCTGGAAAGCAGCTGAAATTTCCCCAACGCCTACAGTCGACCCGTATCAAAGGACGTGCGATGAGGATGCAGGGGCCTTGGAAGGCCGTGCCGACACTTCGAGGGCGTGGCGCGGCCAGCGAACGCGGCCAGGGATGGGCCGAAGGAGAAGGATGCAAGGGCAACCTTGGGAAAGTTGCGCATCCTTACCACGCGGATTGACTGTAGCTCGGCGGTGGACAAACCTCCCTTTAGTAGACCTCCCCTTAGTGAAAACGGCCTGGGACTGAAACCGACGGACCTGGACCCGCAAAAATGACGGCCGCGACGCCCTCTCGCGAACCGAAAACGGCCAATTCCTTAATCGACGTGCCAGGGTAGGAGGTCTGTCCACCCCCGAGTAGCTCAAAGCTTGCAGCGTGGAACAAAGTGGCGGACGCTCGCCGACACGGCGGTAGGCGGCGCGCGCCGCCGCGCCGGCCTGAGCGTCCCTGACCTGCACGGCGGGGAGCGGCTGTCAAACCCGAGCCCTGGCCCGGACGGCCACGCGGGCGTGACTGCAGGGGTCGACCCCACCCCTGCCGACGGCGAAGGCGAGGGTGGGGAACGAGGCAGGGCGGGGGAAACAAGGCGGGGGGTGGGGAACAAGGGGGGGGGGAGGGGGGGGGGGGCGGGAGGGGCAGGAGCAGTCAGCGCAAACCAGCAGGACGTGGGCTCGAGGCGGACTGGCTGCGCCAGGATGCACGGCAGCGCCCGCGAACTCCGTTGGGTCGAGCCAGCCCTTGCCAGCGGCGAAGGAGGGTGGGGGGGACGAGGGGAGTGCAGGGCGGCGGGATCAGTCGGCTGGACTCGCTACGCCCCAGGGCTGGACCTAAACGCTGTTTCTCATTCTGTCTTCCTTTTGTGTTTCGCTCGGCTCTCCCTGCTTTCCTGTCATTGCCTCCCTGCCAAGACGAGAAACAGACCGCAGCCGAAGTCCAGCAAAACAGCGCTTAGGTTCGGCCCCGGGCTGCGTCAGGATACACACACACACAGACACCGCCCGCGCCAGAATCGGGCCGCCGGGGGTCGTCGGAGCATATCAGGCAATCGCAGCGGATCGGGCTGGCCAAGCTCGGCATCGGATCGGATCGAAGGGCTCGGAGCGGACCAGGCGGTGATGAGCAATGCAAATACCCCTAACCCTTTGGGAGGGGGCCAAGGTTAGGAGGGCCAGAAACATCAGAGACAGGGAGTCTGTTGTGCAGACGTGTCGACCCAAACCGCCCAGATTTATGATCCCTGATGCGAAGACGGGGACCTCAGTGAGGCCACGTCTTCATCGTGTTACTAGGGTTAGGGGTTCTTTTGTTCTCGATGACGATCCCCTCCCTGCGACTTGCTCCCCGGGGCGCAGATGTAGCCAAGCAAGCCGCCCATTTTTTTTATCCCTACTGCGAAGACGGGGACCGAAGTGACGCCACGTCTTCATCGTGCTACTAGGGTTTGGGTTCTTCTTGAATCTCGCGAAGCCCTCCCCGTCCTCACCCCCCGCTTGGTGCGGGGCAACGAAGGGGACTGGAACAGGAGGACAAAACACCGACCTGGAGCTGACGATGCATCGCCGAGAGCTCGGCGATGGGCCCCCGACAGCGCGCCCGCGCGTTCCTGGGCGGGGTTGGGGCCAGGGGCTCCTTGGTTCTCGATGAGGCGGGGGGGGGGGGGGCGGCGCCCCGCCCAGCTTCTCGGGCCACAGGGCGGGGGCCTGCTGACCCGGGTCAATCCAGACCCGGGTCAGCAGGAAACCCCAAAAAGTGCAATGCAAGAGCAACAAACTGCAGTGCAGGGCTTGGCGAGCCCGGGTCAGCCAATATGCGCGGCCGCCTCGCGGCCACGCGCGGCTCGCTAACCCGGGTCAGCCAGAGGGGGTCTTCGCAGGATCCTCCAGGATCCAGTGCCCTGGCTGACCCCCGTTTGCACTGACCCCCGTCTCTCAAGCTCCGACACGGCACTCGGGCGTCCGGCGCGGCAGTGTCGGGACGAGGCGCCTGCATCCCTGGAGCACGCAAGCGAAGGGTCGCAGCCGGTGCGGACCACCCCTGGGCTTAAGTCGGGCATGTCCTCCCCCTGCAGCAGGAATGTGCAAGAATAGTAGGAAATAATATGGGGACGATTTTTCGCGTACTTTTTGGCTATGTCTGAACATTTTCACAATCTTAAATCTGTCTGTCGAAATCGGACTGAAGGAGGACATGCCCGACCCAACCCTGGGCCCCCCAAGACCTCCGACAACTTCAGCCTCCCTCCCACAAAGTTGTCGTTTGGACGTTTATTTCCCGTGCGCTGTTCGGGCTCGGGCGTGTTTTGCTTTTGCTTCGCAGGGCGGCGCCCGCGCTGCTCCTCGATGGTCCTCGCCGAGACAACAGGCACACGCCCGAGCGACGCCACGAAAACCTCCGACGACCGCAGCAGGCCTCCCCGAAACTGGAAGGGGGGGGGGCGGGGGCGGGGTCGGCGGCGCGCCCATCGATGCGAGGCGGGGGTCTATCCATATCCGCCTGGGAACCGACGTCCTGGTGCCCCAGCGGGCGGTGGACATGGATGTATTTCGGCCCCCGGGGGCCCGAGTTTGTCCATAGCCACCGCCTGCCGAAGCTCCGAAAACTGACCCTCCAGATGGTGGCCATGTATAAATTCCCGCTTCGGAATCGAGGCCTCCTAGGTGGGGTCCGCCTAACTGGGGTTGGAGGATCTCGCCGCATCGCCGACGCATCGCCGATGCATCGGCCATGCACTGGCAACGTCAGCGGTGCATCGGCGACGTCGGCGTGGAGAAAGTTGGGCCCCATATTGAGCCACATCGCCGATGCATCGCCGATGCATCGGCGATGCGGCGCGATGCTCCGACCCCATCTACGCCGACCCCATCCATGAGGCCTGGGTCGAGTGATGCCCCCGGGGCCCTCTGCGGGGCATCCAGGGCCCTCTCCGACGGCCGCAACCTCCCGAGACGCCCCGCCTGCGTCGGAGAGGGCCTAACCGGCAGGCTCGTGTCGTGCCGACCCCAGCGCTGGTTTCTGACACAGCGGGGATCGTTCAACCTCCAAGGCTGAGCTAACGGCGCTGTTGCTTAACGGTGATGTTGGGAACCAAAATGTAGGAACTCACGAACCACATTTTCCTACATCTCCCATCTGCGAACGGATCGAGCGAACACGACACAGCGAATCGTAAGAAAGCGCGGGCCATGCGTTCCCACACTACCGAAACCTACATCGCCGTTACTTGCATCGCCGTTAGCCCGTATACGGTCAACCTTGAACGATCGGCCATTTCCGAAACGTCAGATCGCTCAACGATAGGCCGAGTCTGGGTCGCCAGCAGCATGCAACGCTGAACGCCAGCGACGGGGTCGCCGCCGTTCGACACGACGCGGACCTACCGCAGCTCGGGGGCTGAAGCGCTCCTGTGGGCAAGTGAACAAAAACGCAAGGCGAGGCCGACTCGGGCACGGCGGCAGACAGATCGCAGACGGCACGTGCGAAGCAGGACGTGCAGGCAGAGACAGAAGCAGGGTAGCCCATCAGGCTGAAGCCCCCCCCCTCCCTTGCCTCTGACGTCGGCGCCCCGCCCAAGGAGGAGGCCCTTTCGCCGTGCGCCGAGCCAGCCGCGGGACCTCCCCGAGGACACGAAGGCCAGGACTACCAGCGCCACCGCGGCCGCCATCTCGCGCGCGGGGGCGCGGAGGGCGAAGCCGAAGAGGGCGGCCTGGAAGGTCAAGGACGCCCACGCGGCGTCGAGCCTGCCGTAGGCGCTGCGGTGCCCCGGGCGGACGTAGGCGTAGTCAGCGAGGAAGCTCGTGAGAGCTGCTCCTCTCGCCGGGGCGGGGGTGGGCGGAGGGCGCGGAGCGGTGGGGCTGGGCTCCTTCCTCCTCTTCCTCCTCCTCGTCCTCGTCCTCGTCCTCGTCCTCGTCCTCCTCCTCCTCCTCCTCCTCCTCCTCCTCGTCCTCCTCGTCCTCCTGGGGGAGGAGGCGAGGGGGGTGAAGACGAGAGGCTTGATGGCAACAAAGCGCGGCACGGAGACGCCCAGCGTGCTCTTGATGCGTAGCGTTCGTGCGACAGGAGGGCCCCTGAGCAGTCGAGGTGCTACAAGAAGGAACGCAACGTAAGGAAACAGGCTGCTTTTTGACCCCAGAAGCGTCTGGTTCGTGCACGAGGAGGGTTAGAGGAACAACCACAGAAGGACCCCAAGGGACAGCGAGCCCCTTCCGAACCCCAAACCGCCCTTATTTCAGCTCCTTGACTGTGAGGCCTTGCGCGGAGAGAAAACGTGCATCGCCGACGGGTGCGTGCGACGCGGAGGCCGCAGGAGCAGCAGGAGGACACGAGTCAGAGTCCGACCTCCCAGGAGCCGAACTCGAAAGTGCCCGCGGGGGCCAGGCGCGTGAGCACGTCCCGCTGCCCTGAGGTCGGGCATGTCCCCCTACAGGCGGATGTTCGACGAAGAGTAAAACGTACTCGAAAAATGCAATTAAAAAAGCAACATGCTAGAAACACATCGCCCCTGGACTATCTGTTTGACATTTTTGAGCATTCCTCCTGTAGAGGCACAGGCCCACCCTCGCTCCCCCTTCGGGGCCAATCCGAGGAGTCCCCGAGAACTCCTGGTCCTCCCTCCCTCCCTCCCTCCTCTCTCACTCCCTCCTCCCTCCTCCCTCCCTCCTCCCTCGAAGGGGCCGAGCCGAGGAGTCCCGGAGCACTCCCGGGCAGCAGCCACCCCGCCGCCCTCCCTGGACGCAGGAAGGGGCCAGGGCCGGCGAGCCAAGGGCAGCCCGGCAGCAGGAGCAGCAAAGGGGAGGAGTGGGAGGAGGGGGGGGAGGAGGAGGGGGAGGAGGAGGAGGAGGAGGAGGAGGAGGAGGAGGAGGCGGAGGAGGAGGAGGAGGAGGAGGAGGAGGAGGAGGAGGGAGGAGGAGGCGGAGGAGGAGGAGGAGGAGGCGGAGGAGGGAGGAGGAGGTCCTCGAGGAGGGGAGTCCTCCGCGCCCCCCCCGAAGTGGGACAGCCCCCGCGCGAGGCCCGTGCGCACCCCGGACTACCGGCCGCTCGCCCTGGGGCCAGGGAAGGGGCCCTGGGACACGCAAGCAAATAGGCACAAAAATCCCAGGATGCCACATATTTCCCATATTTGCTGGATTTCCGTCTTCCCCCCCACTTCCCACATTTTCTGGGGGATCGACGATTCATTGTGTCTGTGCTTTTTTCCCAACCATCCTGTGGTGTTGGGTGCTCGTTTTGAAGAGACAGCGCCCCGCGTTACTCCTCCTCCTCTTCCTCCTCCTCCTCCTCCTCCTCCTCCTCCTCCTCCTCCTCCTCTCTCCTCCTCCTCCTCCTCCTCCTCCTCCTCCTCCTCCTCCTCCTCCTCCAGCACACCCCTCACACGTTTCGTGGCCCCATAGGGAGCCCCACCGAAAGCTGCAGTGGCAGGGTTCCCATGCGGTTCCCCGCCCATTTCGGCGCACCCCTCACACGTTTCGTGGCCCCATAGGGAGCTTCGCCGAAGGCCCCAGTGGCAGGGTGCGCAGGCGGTTCCCCGCCCAGTTCGGCACACCCCTGACACGCATCGTGGCCCCACAGGGAGCTTCACCGAAGGCCCCAGTGGCAGGGTTCGCAGGCGGTTCCCCGCCCAGCCCCACCGAAGGCCCCAGTGGCAGGGTTCGCAGGCGGTTCCCCGCCCATTTCGGCACACCCCTCGCACGTTTCGTGGCCACATAGGGAGGCCCGTCGAACGATGGACCCAGACCGCGGTATCCACAACGGCTTATGGTTGGTCCTTCGTCGAGCTAATTCCCCTCCTGAACCAAAGGAAGCGGCAGAGGGAAGAGGAGGCCAAAGCCAACCGGAGTTGCATCAACGATGCTGCAGTGCACCCTCCCATCTCAAGCCCCCTCCTCGCAAATCCCTGCAGCAAGTCGCCTTCGCAACAGACTTACATACACACACACACACATCCGCCACCGTGCCGCTGGGCGCGGAGCGGGCGTGTCCTCAGCTCGTTTGCCTAATCTCTTGAGCACTCTTGAGGAGTATTTAAAAGGGCCCGGGGCCAAAATTCACAAATCTCCTGGGCCTTCCCGCGTCTTCTCGGGGCTTGTCGCGCGGCCGTTTCGGGCCCAAGAGTGCACCAAAACGGGCCAAGAGGGCCAACGAGACGGTCCAAGAGGGCCCCGAATCGCCGAACGATCGCACCAAGACGCTCAAGACCCCCAGACGGTCCAAGAGGCCTCCAAGAAGCCCAATAGGCATCCGAGAGACCTCCGAGGGCCCCAAAAGGACAATTACGCAACCGAAGAACACCACATACTTATCTTATGATACGTGTGTTCACATACCATGTCACATCCTGCTTCGCCGTCCTCCAGTTGGTGGCCGATTCCTGGTGAAGAACCTGCCAAGCAATAGTTGCCACGCGTGGCCCCCGGGATCAATTCAGACGTCCTCTCTTCCTCATCCTCCTCCTTCCTCCTCCGTCCCCCCCTCGTCCTCGTATTCTTTCCGTGGGGTCCGCGGCGGAGAAATGAGGGCGATTGGAGAAGGTATGGGAAGAGAGAGAGAGAGAGAAAGAGAGAAAGAGAGAGAGAGAGAGAGATTTGTGTGTGTATGTTTTTGAAACTGAAACACCTTGAGAACGATCCTCGGAGCCCGCAGGACGGAAAACGCGACGAAACGTGATCTTCAGCGGAAAGCCTCTGATCAACTCTAAGAGAATCACGCTGCGATGGGTCGCAATCTTCGGCGAGAAGCTCCCGACAGCGCCCACGAAGGAACAGCGGGACGAGACGCGGTCTTCGGCAGAAAGCCTCCGACCGTGAGGAAATCGCATCAACCCAACTGCAGCGATCGGAACTCCGCCGTGTAGTCGGCGGATGTGATCTGGATCTTTCCGTTCCAATGGTGATTCGCTGCCGAGCCCTCGTCGTGATTGCGGGAGGCGTGGCTCATGCACAACGATGGCGACGTCCACCCTTCGATTTCGACAATCTGTGTGGACGCGCGCGCGGCCTGAGCACCCGCGAGCAACATCACCATATTGCGGAGATCTGTAACAAGGCTCGTCGTGTCGAAGGGCCGCGCCCAGGCGACGGCTTCCTCGGGGGTGCCGCGCAGTCCGACATAATATCGGCGCCCTGCTGACCCCTTCTAGTGCAACTGTTGAAATGCAAATGTGGGACCTGCCCCCCTGCGCGCCCCCCTGGGACTGCCACGCCCCGCAAGCCTGGGACGGATCGACACAGTGGTGAGAAACCACCCCCTGCGTTGCGTGGGGAAGGTGCCACGCCTGCCCCGCTCCGCGACCCTGGGACGGATAGTCCGCGGTGGGGAACCACACCCTACGCAGCCCCTGCGGCGTGGAGAAAGTTCCACGCCTGCCACGCCCCGCGACACTAGGACGGATCGACACCGCGGTGAGGGACCACCCCATGCGCACCCCGTGCGGCGTGGATAAAATGCCACACCTGCCGCGCCCCGCGACCCTAGGACGGGTAGAGACCGCGGTAAGGGGACCGCCCTCTGCGAACTCTTGTGGTATGGAAAAAAGGTGCCACGCCTGCCACGCCCCGCAACCCTGGGACGGACAGACACCGCGGTGAGGTGCCACCCCCATGCGCACCCCCCGTGGCGTATAGAACATGCCACGCCTACCACGTCCCGCGACACTGGGACGGATAGAGACCGCGGTGAGGGACCATCCACTGCGCACCCCCCGAGGCGTGGAGAAAGAAAATGCCACGCCTGCCACGCCCCGCGACCCTGGGACGGATATGAGTCGCGGTGAGGGACCACCCCCTGCGCACCCCCTGCGGTGTGGAGAAACTTACACGTCTGCCACGCCCCGCGACTCTGGGACGGATCGACACCGCGGTGAGGGAACACCCTCTGCGCACCCCCTGTGGCGTAGAGAAAATGCCACGCCTGCCGCGCCCCGCGACCCTGGGACGGACACAAACCGCGGTGAAGGACCACCTCCTGCCCACCCCCTGTGGCGCCGAGAAAGTACCACGCCTGCCACGCCCTCCGACCCTGGCGCGCATAGAGGCGGCGCTGAGAGACCACACTGTGCGAACCCCGTCTGCTGTCGAGAAAGTGCCACGCCTGCCACGCTCTCCGACTCTACACGCCAAGCGTGCACTTGCGTTGTATGGTGTGTGTGTGTGTGTGTGTGTGTGCGTGCGTGCGTGCGTGTGTGTGTGTGTGTGTGTGTGTGTGTGTGTGGGTGTGTGTGTGCGTGTGTGTGTGTGTGTGGTGGTGTGTGTGTTTGTGTGGTGTGTGTGTGTGTGTGTGTGTGGGTGTGTGGTATTGTGTGTGTGTGTGTGTGTGCGTGTGTGTGTGGTGTTGTGTGTGTGGAGCGTGCTGTGCTGCGCGTGGGTGAGGGAGGATGAGAAGGGAGGCGGGGGGAAAGGGAGGAAGGAGGAAGGGAGGAGGGAGACGCGGGTGCGACGCGGCAAGGAAGAAAACCATAACCCCGCCAAGGATGTGGGAGACAAAGCATAGATGCGCCTCAAGTTTTTGAAGGTTGTTGGCGTTCTCGCTTTGTCGTCTTCCCGACGCTCCCAGACGGCCCTAGAAGCCCCACGATCGCCCCAACACGGCCCAAGAGGCCTTCGAGAGGGCCCCAAAACGGCCCAAGAGGGCTCCAAGACGGCCCAAGAAAAGCCCAAAACAGCCCAACAGGCCCCGAAGACGGCTCCAAGAGTGGGCCCAGACAGGGCACCTGAGCGGGCATTTCGAGCCGCAAGGTCTCAAGAGGTCCCCACGAAGGCCCCAAGAGGCCCCCAAGAGGTCCCGAAAAGGCCCCCAAGAGACCCCCAAGAGGCCCC